GAGAATATATATTATTATTATTATTATTATTATTAATTCTTCAAAGGAATTCCATCAAGGCACGAACTGCGAGATTGTGCGTACTGTTTGTATATACGTTCGGTGTGTCATATCAGTTGGTGTTTTTGGATTCATTGTGTTTACTCTTTGTTTTCGTAAGTTGTTATTACGTAATTTTGATAAAATTTCGTCGTGATTACTTCTGAAGTTGCTTCGAGTCTTCCACATCCGTGAATGAATTGATTGATGTTAGAGACAGCAGATGGATCGTATACGCCAGGGAGACTATTGTTGAGAATGAAATGCACACGGAGATAATTGTTAGCTGCGGTCCCACACGCCGGGGAGACAGTGTAAACGACTGAGGCTCGCATACATCACCGTTACTAGAACTGAGGCAGAATGAGTGACAAGAGATTGCAGTGGTAATTGGTAGTGAGTAGATAAGAGGATGTGCGTAGAGTATCATGAGCTGGTGCTATGGTCACGTTGCATTCTGCAAGAGTCATTCTAGCAAGTGGCGATGGTGTTGCAAATGGATGCCTTTAACTGGAGGCACAGGTCGTCATTGATGTGTGAGATTGTGCTGTGAGTATGCTTGTGGTGTGTTGGCTTTTCTGTTTGTTTTCCATTTCAGCTCTGTCCGTGTGACCCAGGTTCTCGCAATGGCATCCAAGTCAACGTGTATTGGTCGTAAAGGAAAAAAGGGTTGGATCCCTTTTTTGCCGGGGAGTGTCAATGGAGTTGAAGACTGAACTATCAATTCATGGTTGTTTGCTTAAAATCAACTTCCCCAATTTTCGCGGAGGCATCAATACGACAGTCATCGTCTCATCGGTCGCTGTTCAGAAAGAAGTCAGCAGTAAACCATCAGAAGTAATCTTGTAATTTATTATTGTAATATTTGTTCACAGACCCTAGTAAATACATTATTTTTATATGTTGGTGTAACAATAAAGAATCCTCGAATGGCCAATCGTTCTTTTGGTTTTTCGTCCGTTATTACTAAGCGTTTCTGAAAAACTGCAAGGAACAGCGTGGGCCCGAGCGTAGCAAGAGCTGGGCATCAATGGTTTATGAGACGCGGCTGACAACATGAATTGTTTCTCCTGAATCCAGCTTGTTCCGGTTGAAGTTATTCATGTAGGGCTTGTTCGATTTTCTCAAGGATTATTCGGCTTAGTATTTTGCTTGGGATGGACATGAGAGTGATTCCGCCCCAGGTTTTGCATTGACTTAAGTCTCTTTTCTTTGGTAGTTTGAATAAGTATCCTTTCTTCCAATCCTCAGGTAATTTGCCCCTTTCTTTCCTCACCTTCTCCAGCAATGGCGTCATCAAGTCCGCTGTTGTCTCTGGGTCCATTTTCAATGCTTCTGCTGGGATTCCATCTGGTCCTGCTGCTTTTCCAGCTTTTAGCATCTTGATTGCATTCAGGACTTCTGATTTCATCGGGCGGTCGATATTCACTGGTAGTTCTGCCTCCGTTGTTGGTATTGTTGGGCGCGTTGTAGGTGGCGGTCGATTTAGAAGTCTTTTGAAGTGTTCATCCCAGTGCTTTCTCTGTTCCACCTCTTTGGTGATTGACTTTACATTGTCGTCCTTTATTGGCTTAATCTGTGTCGAACGTTTGCCCGAAAGGTTCCTAGTTGTTTGGTAGAGTGTGGCGAGGTCCCCTTTGCCTGCAGCTTGTTCTGCTTCGTTTGCCATGGTTTCATAATATTTTCTTTTGTCTTCCCTGGCACTTTTCTTCACTCTTTTGTTCAGCGTGTTGTAGCTTGCATTCAACTCCTGTTTTGTTGCTCGTCGGTGCACTGAATAATCTTTTGTTTCACCATCCTTCTCTCTTCTATTAGTCTCCAAGTGTCCATAGTGAGCCACTGTTTGTCCCACCTCTTCTTTCTGCCTAGAACTTCCATGCAGGTTTGACTCCACACCGTTTTCAAGTTGTCCGAGTGCTTTTCGACGCCAACCTCTTCGCTAGTGTTGATTTGTGTCTCGGCTTTGTCCTTTATGCTTGCAATGAAGATGTAATTTGTATCATGGTCCTTCAGTTTTTGAGTATTGAAATTGACTTGTGGTCTGTCTGCAGCTCCTCCTTCTCTGAAAGCTTTTAATTTGATTTGGATTGTCCCTTGTACGAGATAGTGGTCTGAGCCAACGTCTGCTCCTCTTCTTGCTTTTGTGTCCAGTAGGCTGCGCCTACACTTCCTTGAGCAGCATTGAGATGAAGTCGATTTGGTTTTTGGTTTGCCCGTCTGGTGACACCCGTGTAGCCTTGTGGATATCTTTGTGCTTGTATACACTGCCACCAATCACTAGTTCGTTGAAGGCGCAGAAGTCGGCGAAGAGTTCTCCGTTTTCATTCATTTCTCCAAGAGCTTCTCTACCCATGATGAGTTCCCTCTGTGTGATGTCTGGTCCCAGTTTGGCGTTCATGTCTCCCATTAGTATTTTAATGTCGCCAGCTGGAGTATTGTCCATTGTTGCCTGTAGTTGTCTGTAGAATTCTTCTTTCTTTTCGAAATCTGCGTTGTTTGTGGGTGCATAACATTGTGTAATTGACACTTTCCTTCCTTTGAGTTGAATCTTGCGGTCATTATCCTGGGCGAGATCGCTTCCCATTGCATCAGCGCCTTTGTTGATATCATGATAGCCACGCCCTCGGTGTGCGTGTGGTTATCTTCTGGGTGACCGGAGTAGATCACTGACTCACCCATTGCCAATTTGGTGAGTCCATTCCCGTTCCATCTGCTTTCACATATTCCCAGCATTTGGATTCCGTATCTTTTTATCTCGTTTGCGATCTGGGAAGCTTTGCCAATCTCATATGTGGTGTGGACGTCCCATGTCCCCACACAGACTTTTTCTTTTGGCGCAAAGCGATTCACTGTGCTGAAGTTTATGTAGCAACTTTGTTTACAGGATGGGATTGCTAGCATCAAGCCTGAGAAAGGAATTGTTACATTAAGATAAAGTTTAGAGAGAAGCGACTTTTTGGGTTGCTCCCCTCAAAATCGGAAAATAACGGACAAACAATGAGAACAGCATCAACAAAAAGAAACAGTTCACAGAAAAAAGGGCAAAAAGCGACAACAATTATACAATAAGACAACATGCAATATAGTTCAGCACAGTTAACTAAAATGGTATCTCAACCATAAACTCACTGACTCGGAGCAACCTAAACATGTAAATCCAACAATATATACAATTATAGATGTGTTTATGTTTAAAAGTTCCACAAATCCAAATAGTTAGTTATATGTATTATCTGTCAATAAGATTGTATTCTTGGATTCAGTGTTCGAAAGTTAAATAATTGTGATAGTTTCCACAAACTCTTGGCATAAAATTTTACAGAAACGAGAGTTTTTATTAATAAGGAAAATGTAACGCAGTAGTCGAATAGCGCGCGACACCATATAGCTTTCACGATATCCACTTCGCTGAGACCGTTTCGTCATAAATGATTGCGTTCGGCTCTCAGACTTCTCTATTCTAGCGGTGGGGTTCTATATACTGGCAAACCTGCTCGTAGATTGATTGATACTATCTTTTACCAGTTTCAGAATATCATCGAACTTTGGATCAATACCCTCATCCGCCATACGGGAGCTTATCTTCACCCACTTCCTTTGCAGTCGAGTAGGTAGGCGTCTCAATATTACGTGTACGACGGATCGTGAGTTCAGATCGCTCATGCAATTCATCGAAATCAACGTATTCTTGTAAGTCATCTGACTATCCAAAAACTCAGAGAGTGCCCTGGAGTCATCTTGTATTTGACTACCATTACCTTTAACGGCATCGAATACGTTCTTTACAATCATCGGAGGTCTTCCAAATCTTTGACGCAGGGTACGTATCGCCTTAGTATATCCTTCGTTTGGCTTCATAAACCTACAGCACTGTATAACTCTTCCAGCAACTCCAGTGCAGTACCTCGACAAATACATTAACTTCATTTCATCATTTAATAAAAACCACTCAACATCATCTCAAACTCCTTTACAAACTCTGGATAGTCGGTTGGGTTTCCATCAAAGTACCTAGGCTCGAATTTAGGTAACTTTAGGCCCTTACTACCTCTAGACGGCGAACCATGTACTACAGACTCATCATGCTGAGCATCATACATATCATTACAATCAACAAGCAACTCAGCATTACTTACTTACCTGTCTGCTTCCAAGACGCTTTGTCCCTTCTTTGACCCAGACATCACTGAAATTGACCAAAAAATCCAGAAAAGTTCCAGATAACACTTTGTTGCAGAACATCCAAGTCCGATACCAGTTACATAGAGAGCAATAAAAGAATCAAAAACAAACAAACAAGTAGTTGACCAGTAGCTTGGTAATTTTCTGGTAGCACTTCTGATATCATTGAACAACCGGCTGTTAGTAAGCCCCCAATGTATAGACCTGATATAGAGCGTAAAGTTGCTAACCACGTATATGTTGGTGAAATAGCATACAGCCATGTCATGTGAATAAGCGCAAGAAAACAAACAACATTCAAATCTTTACGTCCGAGCCTGTCTGATAAATATCCTATCGGTGGAGAACCTATACATATGCCCAAAAATACTAGAGTGGTAAGAAGAGCAACATAATCCGAACTCATATTCCATTCACATCGTAGCGTAGGCCCAAGAATTGCTTGAATTAAAGTTTCCATGGTATCAGTCGCTTGAGGCATACCGACGATTATAATGACACGAACTTGATACCATCCAAAACCTAGTTGATCCAAAAGCTTGGACTCCAGAAAGTTTAACAGTGCTATCAGACTCCATTGCATGTAATGTGGGGAGGATTCGGAAAGTCACTTTCATGAAGAGAGCAGTCGACGTTTCACAAATCAAATCTTCAGAATGTTGGTGAGAAATTCGATACTCCAAAAATATTCAACTGTTTCGAAAAATTAAAAGAAGCGTGTATCTAAATTACAAATTGAATCAAGTCATCACTGAGATTCGTCGAAAAACTTTGTGTTGCATTGGACCTTTGGACATCCGAATTACTATTAGTTATTTCAAACAGAATCCTATTTCCTTTCAACTATCTTGCGGGAAAGTTGATTTGTCCCCTATCACTGTTGTCTGTATTTGTCTCGTTGGTCTCGCTGGGAATCTCAAGGAGTTAGAGGCTGCTGCAGAGCTCAGGGAGAAGTTTGTTCCATCAATCGTTTCATATATTTTTAGGACCTGGGATTAACTTGGAAATAGACCTTCCTTTTACATTTTTCATCACCGCAAAGCTCCCTTGTCGACTAATCCCACCCTCTAATTCAGTAATCACAATGTCCACCAATCCTATTGTTCTTGCCCGTGGACACACTGAAGCAGTCACAACTTTGTCACTTTCTGATCATCTGCTGGCATCTGGAAGTGCGGATGGCAATACCTATTTCTGGTCTCTGGATCAAAGTCCTTGTCCTGTTCTCCAGGCTCCAAGATATGGTCACTGTTCTAGTATCAAATTTAGTGTCAAACAAGAAAATATACTCTACGGGGCGTATAGCCAAGAAATTATCTCGTGGGATATACGCAACTTAAGACAGCTATTCGATATTTGGAAAGTATGTTGACAGAACTATCCTTTAAAAACTAATCTTTCAACCTTTAGGTTAATGAAGGGAGAGTAAATTCGATTGACGTATCTGAGACTGAAGACCGGCTGGCGTCAGCAGATGATACTGGTACAGTACAGATTATTGATCTGAGTAATGGTTCGCTTGTTCGTACTCTCAAGAAACATGATAACAGCGTGTCTTCAGTTAAGTTCCGACCGGGTCGTCCCTGGCAGCTGGTGAGCGGTGGTGTCGACTGTAAAGTTGTCGTATCCGACTGGCGGGGATCAGGCTTGGCGGTTAATATTTTTGAGCTGAGTGAAATTGCTGACTACTCTGGCTCAGACTCAAACAATGTTGAGGCTGACGATTCTTATATAGACAGTATAGATGATGAATCCTTGAATGTACTCCTCCGTTCCAACTCCACCATGAACTTTGACGGGGGTAATACCAGAACGAATGACCGCATTCGAGATCGGTTCGCCGAGCAGATTGTAAGTCAACCAGCGTCAACATCTTTTCGTGTATGTTACATGTGTCCTTATTAACCGTGTTTCAACCTACAGGATTTCATGATGACAAGAACAGTATCCTGTTCCATGACTCCTCATTTTATAAAGTAGCCTACTGTGTAGACTAAAGTGGGATGAAACCTAGGCATTTCAGCGTGTGTTCTAGGTGTTAATCTCAATATTTCTGGTCGCTTCTTTAAAAGTGAAATCTGTTTATTTTTGGTCTGTCATGTCGGAAAGTAAATAATGAGCTGTAAATCCCAGTTGGCGTCACAATTGAGGCTCTTCATCTCATTCTAGTGTTCCCTTATGAAGTGGTTGTTACGTTGAAGCTCATAATCGTAAATTTGATGATTGTAATACAAGCTCCGGAACACCCGTGCCAGATATACTCTTCACTTGTTTGGAAACACTATATACGCCATGCTAATCCTCTCTGCAGCATCAGAGACAGTAGAACGTTGAGAATAACATCAGTGTGTATCGGCACAAAAGTCATACCACTCATCCCGGGATCCATGATCTCCTGCATAACTGTTAAAAGGAAGAAGCTTCTCGTTGTCTGCAAAGGTCTTCAGATGTGACTAATTGTAAGTTCTACCACCAACTGGATGATATATTTTAAATGGACTTGACAATTATTTCAGTGGTAGTTCCTACGTGGATATCTTTGCTCTGAAGAAAGTCGTTTATGTGGTGTAAATAGACTAGTCGGTCTCAGGTCGGAGTCAGTGTATCAGCAGCAGTCCACTTGTCGCCTTATCTTCCGGTGGTTATCACTGTGGCTTGTCAATCAGGCTATAACATGTCGCAATAGTAAACAGCAATCCTTCTTTCTGGAGTAGTTTTCTGAACCCTAACATAAAATCAGTTCATCACGTTTGTAGGTGAAAAAAGCTTAAGAAGTAGAAAATGTGTGACAGAAATTTCGCCCGTCAAGTAGTCAAACTTGCAAAAGGTGATCAAGGTGGCTGCACAAATCTGGACACTTTTCACTTAATGATGATGCTAGGGAAGGTATGTGGTCATACAAAAGCACGGTATTAGTGCATGATGTCATGTATTGTTGGCGTAGACCATGCTTAAAGAGGTTCAGATAGCTTGAATAGGGTCATTTGAATGCTTCGCTTCATCATTCAGTCACGAATGCTACGCATGAACCTAAACAAGATGTTTGTGTGAACAGGAAATAACCGGTTAAGTTGTAAACCTACGAAACCCTGTCTGTACTTTTTAAATGTGTGATCAATATCTATTTCAACCGCCAATGGATGCAAAAGTTAATACTACCATTACTGTTTTGTCCTCTCCACGTATTATTATCATTGCTATTACTCATTCCTTGCTTTTCCAACAAAATATATGGCTTCGGCGGCACATCTCCATTGCACTTGATTCTTTGCCATTACTTCCAACTGGCTCCACAAATCACTATCTTTCTTTTCGCCTTTACATGGTCTTTGTGTCACCCTCAGACTGAAGACTAACTTCACCTTCTATTCTGGTTCCTCTGTAGTGCCTAGTGTGTGATGTCAACTAAAGCTCTGTACCCACAGAGCACCTTAATTTTTATTTGCATGTTTGTAAGGCAATGTATTCTCAACTTGTTTGTTGCTAGAGCCCCTTGTTATCTGTACTTTCCAGCCTTTTGATCTTCAGTATCGAGGCAGCAATGAGAGTTGTTGATGAAAATCTCTAGTATCCTATTGGAGTCTTTTGGTGATACGCTTTCTGTAGCAAATTTTGATCTTCCTTGTATTGGGTAGGTGACGTAGATTTTCAAACTGATTTCGGAGCAGTGACGGTCTGTCTTGCTTTCCTGATCTTGTCTTTGACATCCACTTCTCTACCGCTGCTAGTAGTTGAAACGATGTTTCCCGGGTAAGCAAGTAAGAGATGACTTCCTTTTGATTGCTTTCACTGGTGATGACCAGTGCTTGTTGTTGATCATCTCTATGTTTACATGGAGTCCTGTCTTCTCTGCCTGTCCTGCTAACCTGTTGGTTTTAAATTGTGGATCTTCGAGTTTGTGGCACACGAGACATGAAACATCCACTAGGGACAGATCTGGGGTCTTTCTGTCAGTTCAATGTATTCTGGAGTTCCCACCTCGTGGTTTACCGCGGGGCCCAGTGGGCCAAAAACAGGAAGGTTGTCAGTGACAGTAAGCAGTCTTGTCTCATTTCTGTCTTCAACTCGAAAACCTTATGTTGGTATTCGCGATTACCATACAGTAGTTTAGTGCGGTTTATAAAAGTTCGTGGCGAAACACTCCGTTAATGCGGCAGTTTTCAAATTTAAAGAAGTCCTTTGAAGTTACCAGCTGAATGCTTCTGCTGCTCCCGACCGAAAGCTGCTACCTTGACATGGTGGTCGGGCTTGAACACCGCAATGACCTAATCAAGCTATACTGGCTGAGACTTATGTCTCTTGAGGTTCTACCATGCCAGGCAGGTTGTTTGGATAGCGGTTAAACAAAAAGCAGCTACCCAATCCAACATCATGTCCAATACAAAATTTCATGCCGGATCGGCCGTGGCCCGGATTAACAACGACCGCGCTTCCTGCTGCCGTGTCACAGGGCGGGAGTGATAAATCTGCTACTGAGGCACACCAAACAAAAAGAACGAACAAACACAGGCCGCGTGTGACCGGCCTCAAGCAGTTGTCCCCTGGGCTCTGCGGTCACGCAACCAACTTCCACGGTGTGGGCAGCCGGGAAGTAACAATCGCCCTCACAATCCGAAATGCACACGAAACCTCTCTATTACTCACTCATCTTTGTCTTCATCTTCATCTCTATCATCTTGCCTTCCTTCCACTGATGCAACTCCTCGACTTGATAGCTCTCCACTTCCTCTCCACTCTGCGTCCACTAAAAACGATGGAAGCCAAAAAACCACCACCGACAGCCTCTTAAAGCCGCGCCACCAATTTCATATAGGAGCTCTTAATGTTAGGACACTTTGCCAAATAGGACAACAAGCATCACTAGCCAAGACCCTGGCATCACGAGCCATTGATGTATGCTGTGTTTCAGAAACACGCATACAAGACCCAAGTGTGGTTATTCACCTAACCCCACCTGGCCAACAGGTTGAATCTGCAAAATTCACCTTGAGGGTGTCAGGAGATGCCACAGCTAGTTCACGAGGATTAGCTGGCGTAGGGATAGCTTTGAGTACTAGGGCAGAAAAGACATTGCTTGACTGGATCCCGGTAGATAGCCGAATGTGTGCTGTCCGCCTGAACGGATCAGTAAGAAGGAGAAAGGACTGCACTACTCGCCGATGCCTTTTCGTAATCTCCGCCTACGCCCCCACTGACTGCAGTTCAGATGAAACGAAGGATGAGTTCTACCAAAAGCTGTCTAGTTTGGTGGAAAGGCTAAACGCTCAGACATAGTCGTTCTAGCTGGTGACTTTAACGCTCAAGTAGGGAAATTGTGTCAATCTGAGAAGGATGTCGGTGGCACCTATGGAGTTCCGTGCCAGCGAACCGACAACGGTGACCGTCTCCTACAGTTCTGTTCTGATAATCATTTGTTTCTTGTAAGCACTAACTTTAAACACAAGGAGAGACACTGTTTGACTTGGAGACCCCCTTCATCAAACCAACGCTGGACACAAATAGACCACATAGCAATAAGCTATCGTTGGCGTGGGTCGGTAGGAGATTGTCGCTCCTTCTGGAACACGTGCGTAGATACCGACCATGCACTGGTCCGCGCTCGGGTGTGCTTACGACTGAACGGACGTAGGAAACAGCTGGCGGTAAAACCATCACGTCCCCAGCTCGATCAGGAAACTAAATCCGTATTTGAGGAAGAACTAGCTAAACACATATCTGTGTTCGACAGCTGTGCTCACCCTGAAGAAGCTTGGAAAAATATCCAGGCAGCCATAGATACAGCTGTAAAAGCTGTGAATAAGGTAAACCCAAAGGTGAGTAAAAACCACTGGATCTCCACCGCCTCATCCGAACTGATAGATGCTAGAAGACTTATTCCGGCGAGCTCCGAATTCAATGAGGAGCGAAAGCTGCACAAGAGGAAACTTACGAAAAGTCTCCGCAAGGACCGTGAACAGTGGTGGGCGACAAAAGCCAAAGAGATGGAGAAAGCTTCGAGGATAGGCAACACCAGGCAACTCTTTGGACTCATCAGGGAAACGGGTGGGAGAAGACAAATCATTAGTGAGACAATCTCGGAAAAAAATGGCACTATAATTAGCTCACAGGATAGACGACTGGATCGTTGGAAAGAGCATTATGAGGAGCAGTTTAATTTGCCCACAGCCACGCTCAACCTTCCGAGCATCCAACACCTCCCTGAATGGGATATAGATACAGGTCCTCCGTCACTAACTGAGGTTACTAAAGCTGTCACCAATCTGAAACTAGGCAAAGCAGCGGGACCTGATGGAATGACGCCAGAGGTATTTAAGTACGGTGGAGACAGCTTACTGTCCGGATTAACTGAGGTACTAGGCAGCGTTTGGGAATCAGAAGAAGTCCCATCGGGTTGGTGTAAGTCACTGATTATCCCCATATACAAGAAGGGAGACAAGTCTTCCTGTGATAATCACAGAGGGATTAAAAAAAAAAAAAAAAAAAAAAAAAAAAAAAAAAAAAAAAAAAAAAAAAAAAAAAAAAAAAAAAAAAAAAAAAAAAAAAAAAAAAAAAAAAAAAAAAAAAAAAAAAAAAAAAAAAAAAAAAAAAAAAAAAAAAAAAAAAAAAAAAAAAAAAATTATATTTCTTGACCTAAAGGCAGCATTCGACTCTGTCGATCGGGAAGTTCTCTGGAGATGCTTGGCTGTAAAGGGAATTCCAAGAAAATATATTGCACTGATTAAGGCACTCTATTCGTATTCATACAGCCAGGTGAGGGCTTACGGCGAGCTGTAATCTGAACTGATGACGACCAGTGGTGTCCGTCAAGGATGCCCATTATCTCCTTTTCTATTCAACTTCATCATAGATGTGTTAATGGACTTAACCCTAGGTGACTTCAGTGACTCAGGAATTGACTTGCTACCGGGGAATAATCTCGTTGACTTGGAATATGCAGACGATATAGTCCTTCTAGGCGAAGACGCTGACGAAATGCAGAGTCTTCTAAACACCTTGAGCCGCAATCTACGAATGTTTGGCATGCGATTCGCTCCCGCCAAATGCAAGATGATGTTACAGGACTGGACTACATCGACGCCTAGTTTAAAAATAGGAAGTGAAGTGGTAGAGCACGTTGACCGCTTCACTTATTTGGGAAGTACCATCAGCCCCAACGGGCTGATCTCTGACGAAATCTCAGCACGAATACAAGGGGCTCGTTTCGCATTTTTTAGTTTACGCCGACTCTGGCGTAGACGAGATTTTCGACTATCGACCAAAGGGCGGGTGTACTGCTCATCAGTCCGCTCCGTCCCCCTTTATGGTTGTGAGACCTGGTCACTGAGAGTGGAAGACATGAAAAGACTAGCTGTCTTTGATCATAGGTGCCTGCGTTCTATTTCCCGTGTAAAGTGGCATAATAAGGTGAGCAACATGGAGGTTAGGCGTAGAGTTCTAGGTAAACAGGGGAAATCAATCGACGAAGTCGTGAAGCTACATCGACTGAGGTGGTTAGGACAAGTGTTACGTATGCCAAGCCATCGCCTCCCTCGACGAGCTATGTTAGCGGATATAGGGTCAGGCTGGAAAAAAGCTAGCGGCGGTCAAACAAAAACATGGCACCAGTCAATGAAATCCACAACAGTTGGTCTAAGCCACGTAGAAAGGTGTAGACTTCCAGGCTGGGGTCCTCGGGACGGTAAAAATCTATGGTTGGAAACAATTGGTGACATGGCTCAAAACCGTTCTCAGTGGCGCAGATGCATCCACTCCTTGTGACTTATGATCTCCAATGAAACTGTTTTGTATTTCTTTATGACTCCTTTGTCTCAGACCTCTGCTCACTGTTTCTATTATGCTTTTCTTGTACTTTCTTCTCTTGCTTCGCGTGCTACACGGAATGTGGCGACTTGAACTTCCGCACATTTGTGCAAAGTTCTATGTCGAAAACAGACAGACAGGCTGCTCATTTGCCCAGTACGTCGTAAATTATACTCAGCGTCTGCTTCCGGTATTCGTCTCTGCGCTGGTTCATCATCGTCCTTCTTTGCTCTGTCACCGTCCATTGTGAGTTCTTCCTTGTCCTGTTTCAGATTTCTATATGGCTTTGCGTTCGCACCACTTCTATGGTGTTCCTGTGTTTTTCACACAGGCTAACTCGGTGATGTTGCTGACTGTTTCTGACTTGATCCTGTTGACCACAGTAAAGGTTCTCGTTGTTGCGTTGTCCTTCAGTTGGAGTGTTGGGGATGAATAAGAGCCTTTATCTTGATTTCTTGAAGGCCTTCAGCTTTACTTTGAAGGATCCTCGCACTAAATCATATATGGTCTGGACTCCTATCTGCTCATCTCGACTTTGTTTCTGGCGGACTACATCTCATCTTTCTTGAGATTAAGATGAAGTCCATCTGATTTTTGGTGTGTTCGTTGGGTGAAACCTATGTCACCTGTGCTTGTGATTGTAAACGCTGCCTCTAATCACCAAATTATGAAGGTGCCGAAGTCTGTGAACAGTTCACTTCCCTGCTCCCAACCGTCCCACTTTTTCTTGGCTCATTAGCGACTGGTAACTTAGGTGAGATTAAATGTAACTACTGGGTTATATATTTGTGGCTCTAGAGAGTCATATTTATTCATCTCCTGCATAGTTTTGATTTTTTTTACGGAAAGGTTCTAAAACACTAGAAAAATATTATTCGTCTTCCAATAATTAAAGCCATTTGATTTACCTGTCATTCATCTTTGAAATGATTTTTTTTCGCCCAGGCCCGGTTGTTTCTTATCCCTACGCCAGTGTCATTCAGTCGGGATCGCCAGCGTCGTAACATATCAGCCAGACGTCCTTGCATCAATTCAGTTTCCTGCTCGATGTCCGGTGACATCGTTGCTGCCTCACTTGATAGCAAGACCATTGAATTGTTTTCCGGTTATGGTAAACATTTGATGCATTATGAATCATTGTATGGTCACGATGGTAGAGCATCAACTGTACACTTTATAAATGTATGTTTTCTAATATTTTTGTTTCCCTTGTTGTTACAAAGGTAGTAACGTATGTAGGTGTTTTTCTTAATCTCAATTTATACGGTTTAATGTTTCACGACGCATAAAAACTGCAATGCAGCTATTATAATGCTCGCTTACATCAGAATACTCAACTTACTCCATCTCTGGTGGGTACGTGTTGTCCACCTGTCGATGAGAGGATGTGTTTACTGTCAGGCAGTTTGTTCTGTGTTGCTTTATGACTGTGTATCATGGCTGTTGAGAGTGGAGAAAGTGAAGTGGATAGTTGTCTTCCGCCATAAGCGATTGCGTCCTATCTCATACTTCAAGTGCAGGGTTTAATGCTTAAAGCAGAAAATAGTAGTGGCTGTGGGTTAAGAGTGGAACATAGGGCTTCAACAGCACATCTTCATTCTGCCATGCACACTGCTGTTTTTTATCTGGCTCCACGATTGCCCATGAATTTCTATTTCTTCCCCACATGATTACCACTGTATTAACCTCAGAAGTCCAACTTTTCCTTCTCCATTTTAGTTCCACTCAAGGACCTAGTATGTAACGTCACTCAGCGGTGCGCTCAACTTATGTGTATCCAATCAACTTCATATTTGTTAGTTATTTATCCTTTCTGTGACTATATGATCTTCACTATCGAGCGAAGGAGGTAACTGTTAGTGATAGCCTGCAGTGTGTTAGGAATGCCTTCAGTGGTTAACCCATTCTGTTGAACATACAAAAAATTTCGGGTCGCGTTAGTTATCGTGAGTGGCGTTAATCCCTGTACTGATTTCGGAGTGTGAACACCTGTCGTGCATTCACGATCCTAGCTTTGAGATTCTCATGTTGTTGTTGACACGATGCTGCCTAGATAAATAAGAAGTGACTTCCTAAATATGTCTTCTACCAATGGAGACCAATGCCTGTTGTTTGCTGGTTATCAGCAACACTCCTTACCACTTTTTGTTCACTTGAAGTTGTCTCATCACTTCCTGCTCTCTCAACTTGTTGAGTTTCGTCTGTGGATTGTCGAGTTTTGTGACAGTAGACATGACATATCTACAAGGTCCGGGTCTCCCTGAATCCTTTTATCAGTCTGATGTTTCATGTCTCTCAGTGTCTTCTTGTTGACGCGATGTATGCGCGTCTTCTCTCTCTCCTCATGTTCTATTCCATAATCTAATTCACTTCAAACAGGAATATAATCAGTGGTAAAAGGCAGTCTTATTGTATTCCTGTCTTCACTTCCAATACTTTGATGAGCTTTCCTTTGTGAATCATTTGACATGTTGCATCATCATATCTCCATTGCTGTTGAATGAGGCTAATGAAGGTTTGGGTGAAGCAGTTTCCAAATCAATTCATGCTCAACACTGTGTAGGATCTTTCCAAATTCGATGAAGTTAAGGTGGAGAGTTGAGTGATGTGCTCTCTTCCATGCTGATGCTTTTACTGAATTCAGCTTGTTGCGAGTGAGAATTTCTCACTCTGGGCATCTTTTAGTTTCTACACGATGATGCGGTTAAATATTTTTGTAGTTGATAGTAGTATAATTCTGCACCAGTTCAAATCAAAACTTGCTGTCAGTTCATGTAGTGTTTGGCAGTTGGGTTGAGCTAGCCACATAGGAAGATGAAGATTGTATCTCTAAGATTTCCGAACCGAGACTGAAAATTCAACATGGAGCAAGGTCGTTTTTCAAATGGCCTGGATGCATTGTCTCCTTCATATGGTTTACCAGACTTTCTTATACTTGACCCTATGAAATAGGATCACCTGAATCAATAACTCACTATTCGTGTGTAGATTTCTATAATCATCTGATTTAACAATTGAAGAAAGGTGTTCATATGCATCGAATACTCTTCGTGAACACCACCACTACAATTATCTCTTTTTTAAACGTCTCTTAACTCTCTTTTCTTGCTCTGTACGCTACATGGAGGGAGTGTGGCAAATAGAACTTCTGTGCAAAGCTCTATGTTGAAACCAGTCAGTCAGTCGAAACCAACTGAAAACGTTTAGAATTTAGTTGGTGGAATCCAGGATGCACATTTCGCCCTGTTAGGACTCGTCACCTGGATGTGCATGCCCAGACGTCGTCGAAGCATCTGCACAAGAAGCCGACATGTCAACCTGAGGCGGAGCAATTCGGTCCAATCAATCGACGAGAAAATCTAAAATTCAATTGAACAACTGGATAAGTGTACAGGTACAGAAATGGAAAGAAATAACATTATTTTCGGGAATATATAATGTGTATGTATATATGAAATTCTCTTTTATTTTTCAGGAAACATTACTAGTCAGTGGTTCATGTGATGAAAATATTTTTGTATGGAATATTGAGTCAGAAGCTTATGGCCAAGCTACATATCACGGTGAAGAAGTGAGCGCTTTTGAGGGTAGACGGCTTGATCGTCTTATCGTCGCGGATTCCTCTCCTGTAATTAAAGTGAGTTGCACAATATATATAAAAGTGGTTATAGTTTTGCACTTTGTTTGAATTGAACCCCCGTTATACGTCCTAGTTTACTAGCCAAACTTGTTCTTCTGTATATTCATTCACCTCACGTGTAGGCTAATGCATAACAGAGCTGAACTACACCGACTCCTAGCTGAAAGATAAGCAATGGAATGGCTGGGTGTGTTGACCAGTTCACTAATTTGGGAAGTTGCATCAGCCTTAATTGATTGCCTGATTGTGGTAATGTAATTACAGTAATGTAAACATTATTGTATAACACTGTGAGACTTTATCAAAAAAAATTTACCCGTAATGGATGAGACATGGTCGTTGAAAGTGGAAAAATTGAGTAGGCTTTCTGTATTCGACCAAAGGAAGTTTGTGGGTATAATATAGTGAATAATATTAAAACCAAGGGTTGTAGATTGTTAGGTGAGGACAGTAAATTATTCGATGAAGTTGTATGGGTGAATTGATTAAGATGGTTAGGACACGTGTTACACATACTATTTCAAGCCATCCCTCGACAAGCAGTTTTAGCTAAGATACGATTAGGCTGAAAGAGAGTTAGGGATGTTCAGAACAAAACGTGTCATCAATTCACTATGACTTTGGCAGTTGATAAGAGCCATACTGGGAGGCATAAAAACCGTGCACGGACGTGACAAGACGGAGTACCAAATGGCATGGATGCTTGACCGGAAGCCTTCGGCTAAACAAGTCGACTTAAACAGTGGGGGTCAGCATCCAATGTTCGGGGATGATTGCGTGGTAAATAATTTTGGGGAATTATTTACTGCTACAATGCTGATTCATGTGATGCTCCCAGACCTAACGCTTTTAAATCTATTAACAAACATTACTCATTATCATAATACAGAACATTAGGGATACCAGTTTACAGCCATCATCATTTGACTACGAGTAAGAAATTCACATAATACGATCTTAGTTTACAAATGGTATTCTGAAATCATTGGTTGAAAAATCCCTCTAGCTCGTGCCGGCAAGCATTCCTATGGTGGACTGTAACTCACTTACATAGTATGGAATTTCTCGGCAGCTGAATGCAGTACACTTGCCAAGAAAGAACAACCTATGGAAAGTCGCAAACAGCCGTCCTTGGCTCACTGTATTATTATTATATCCTTTAATTCCTAGAGGGACATAGGGCTTCAGCTGCGCGTCTCCATTGCCTTCGGTTTTATGCCAGCTTTTTCACCTCGTTCCAAGTCTGCCCACATGCTTTCAACTCCTCCTCGCATGACCTCCTCCAAGTCACCCTTGCACTGACGACCAACTCGCCGACCGCTTCTCTTTTGGGTTCCACTGGAGCAATGGCTTGTCTAGTGATGTCACTTGATGGTTCGTTTCCTCAGTGTATGGCCAATCCATCTCGATTTCTTCCTGCCTATTCGTTTCACAATCGGTTCCTGCTGGGTTGGTTTGCTCATTCCCAGAGATTCCACCCTGTTGCTGATCTTTTCTGTCCATCTGATCTTCAGCAGAGTTGAGAGGAGACAACTGTTAATGAAGGTCTGAAGTTCGTTTGAGATGCTCCTTATGATTCGCCAAGTCTCTGATCCGTATACAAGCACTGATTTCTCATTGGAGTTGAAAATCCGGATCTTATTTTTAATGTTGGGCGCTGTTGACTTCCACACAGACTTAAGAGTAATGAAAGCCTGTCTTGCGTTTCCGATTCTGGCTTTGATATCCTCGTCAGTTCAGCCCGCCTGTAGTTGAAACGATACTTCCCATGTTGGTAGGCAAAGGAGGTTGTTTCTTTCAGGATCCTCCCATTTATGCTGAATGATTGTTGTCTGTTGTTGTTGTTGCTTTTGGTGTTGGCCAGGAAACTTCATCAACTCTGTTAACTCTATGTTCACCTCAAGTCGTATCTTTGATGCTTCATCATCCAGCTTGATGCTTTTCACATCCACATCTTCCAGTGTCAGTCACGTCTCGTAAACCGTTAATGCCCAGCTCTTACTGCACTCGGGCTCACGCTGTTCCTTGAAGTTTCTCAGAAACGCTTAGTAATAACGGACGCAAAATCCAAAGCACCGATTGTCCGCTTGAGAATTCTTTGTTGTAACACCAACATATAAAAATAATGTTTTTACTAGGGTCTGTGAACAAATATTACAATAATAAATCACAAGATTACTTCTGATGGTTTACTGCTGACTTCTTTCTGAACAGCGACCGATGAGACGATGACTGTCGTATTGATGCCTCCGCGAAAATTGGGGAAGTTGATTTTGAGCAAACAACCATGAATTGATCGTTCAATCTTCAACTCCATTGACACTCCCGGCAAAATACGGATCCATCCCTTTTTCCATCACGACCAACACACGTTGACTTGGATGCCATTGCGAGAACCTGGGTCACACGGACAGAGCTGAAATGGAAAACAAACAGAAAGGCCAACACACCACAAGCATACCCACAGCACAATCTCACACATC